CATATCACGAGATTAATTTTAAATTCTTGCATTAGTGTCACTGTACTATAGTTCTATCCTGTATGATATGTATAAATTACTATTATTATACGCATATTGAATTTCCTAAAATATATAGTTACAAGTGACGGTATTGGTCCTATGAATAAATATAATAAATGATCTGGAAGATGACTAACCAAAAAGAAATCACACGAGTAAACCAGCTGTCAGTATCTAGTGGAATCCTTTTATAAGCTTTCTATTGGTAGTAAAATAAGGACATATTTCAATACAGGATTTATGGCAGTTTCTTAAGTTTACTCACTTAATTAGTCAATCAACTCTTTAGCTTCCATTGAATGAAAATGAATTACCAATTTCGCATAATCTTATTTATTAAATTAGTTCACTTCGAGATAAATTTTAAAACTATTTCCTAGACTGTAATCATTGCCATTTTATTACAGCATTGCAATTTTCTTGCATAATTCATCTTACCTTTGACGCAACCTGTTGATGGTTGTTCTTTTCCATTACTTAGTCAATATCCTCGTGTGTCAGGCAAGAAATAACAGCATTGACTTTCTCAAAGATTTACCGTACACATACGTGTACAGCAGTATTATCGCATAAAAATGGTATAAACAGTTAATGAACGCTAAATTAATTAGTTCTGTGCCTATAATAACTTGATCATGAACTACTCAATCAGCAACTTCCGAGAATTTTCTCTTAGTCTAGGTTAACTGTAGTCTTTTTAATGTATTTTGTGCGAGTATAATTGATATCTGGTCTCCACACCAGCAAACTGCTGTAGTAATTAAGTTAACGTGGTTAAATTTGAGTTCACTCAACTCTCTCTTTTACTCAAGGTCCCAAGGCAATACAATCTTGTTAGAAAGAGTGAACGTTTAGACAGGGACTTTTAAGAAGTCCCTGGTTTAGAGATCCTCAGGGTCCCCATTGAAAATGATGGTCAGCCAAGCATTATACTCGTATATGTAAATGAATAAAAGGAGAGAGAGAAATTTATTAGTGCTCGTACTTCAGTACTATTGGATAATACTAAATGATAAACTCAGTAATGAGGTGTTGGCGCTAGGCAACAATGGCTCCAAGTAANCATAATATAATTATATATAAATGCATAATTAATGCGCGTATATTGTTAACTCCAG